GCGAATGGTGAAACTCACTGACGATGCCGGCGAAACGTCTGGGAATCTTCCACGTCCACGGTCCGACTCTGGAAATAATTATGCATACAATGGACTCGGGACAAGGTACTTTTCTATCAGTACTTGTTTGACTTTGTTTTCGCAAATTAGTCATATTGGCAGGAAGGCCTAGACGAACGCACTTAGTCTGGAGTCTCTAGTATGCAAGATAATTTTTCATAATAGGACGGTGGACTTGTTACATTCCCAGACATTTCGCTGGTATTATCAGTGCGTCTTGCCATTCTTAGCACCACACCACAACACCTCAAATACAGACGAAATAGATCCTTTGGCAAATTGTCTGAAAAACCAGTGGTTCCCAAACTTTTCCTAGTCGCGTCGCCATTTTTCAATTAATATTTTTCAATGGCGCATAAGTATGACTATTCTTTAAAGATTAAAAAAAAAACTCGTATCTTTATTTTTTTACCTTATTAATATTAAATTAATATTTAATAATTAATGTGATCAATGAGCCTGCAAATCACCACTCATTTTCTCAAATTGAAGCTTTTACAATATCTCGCTCCTGTAAAGAGGCCGCAGCTCCCCGGGGCGCCGCGGCGCACAGTTTGGGAATCACTGTGCTAAACAGTTGTGGTATCTCCTTTTGTCCTAGGCTATTCAACTATCCTATATCCTCGTATCACCCTTTTATTATCACATTTTCTTAATTGCCTATTTAAATGTGGTATTGTGTACCCTTTTAAACGGATTTCATGAGAACTTTTGACATCCCACTCCTAACCCTTGTGCTAGGAATGTTGATTTGAGTCTGTCATATTATTCCTCATTCCTCTTCTCATAGGTCCTATCAGAGTCCCTCTTGCCCCATAGGATTCATCTTCTATCTCTCTGATTTAGGTATTCCACTTGGCCCTTGCCACTATCTGTGCTTCTCGAAGCGTTATCTTCCACACTCTGCCTCAAACCTTTTATGACGCGTATACTCCAGCCTCTGAGTAAACCCACAAAGTCTGGATTCTCAAGCTGGATGGGAGACTAACTTGAGGCTATAGATCCAGAGTAGTTCTCATGGCCAAGCCTTTAGTTCATGGACCACGTCTACTGTTAGTCTACTAGTTCTAGCCTTCGCCGCATCTATCGTGCTTCTATCCATAACCCCAAGTCTATCACTTCCTAAACTAGTCTCTTGTGTGCTAATCCACAAATGCTGTGGTTCTACTTATGTTTACTGTGAGCCTAATCAAAACATGTAGAACCACAACATTTGTATATTAGCACACAAGAGACCAGAGCATGGTAGGTCATATAGATGATATTATGGATAAAAGTCCGAAAGAATCGACCGAGACTAGAGCTAGTTGGCTAACAGTAGACGTGGCCCATCAAGCAAAGGCTTGAATATGAAAATTACTTGAGCTCTATATCTTTTAGTTAGTCTCCCATCCAGCTTGAAAATCCAGACTTTGTGGACCTACTCAATAAGGCGGGATTATGGGAATGCCTGAGAATGTACCAAATCCACAGTCCGACTGAAAATTATCATGCACACTATGGACTCTGGTCTAGGTGCGTTCCTTTAGGTCTGCCTGCTAATAAGACCACATTGCGAAAACGAGGTCAAACAATTAATATACTACGAAAAGAGACCGCAAGCTTACAAAAGGCCATACCTTCGATTTTATTTCTTTTAGGTTTTTATCCACCTAAATTATGAATCATGTCGAGAATTTATATCTATTTTTAATAATTCAGTAAGAATACTTATTGCTGTTTTTAAAAATTTTTTCAATAACCACAATTATGTCGAAAATTAGACTAATCTGGCATCTGGAATGATCCTCACTGGTCTCACTCCAGGCCAAGTCATCGTGCAGTTAATCGTGGAAACTGTCGACCCTGACGATGTGTTCGCAGCTCAAATTGTCCATGTGACAGAGCACACTTCGACCCAGAGGCCTGTCAACCGTCTTACGGCAGACTTGATAGTCACAATACTTCCTGCACTTAACAGCCTTATCAATCCATGGCGCAGCAATCCAGAGATTAGAATGACTCCCTTCTCAAGACTTCAACTACACCTCGCAGATGAAGTGTGAGATTGTTTTATTTTGAGCAATTTTCACGTTTATTTACCATTTTTAAACTTATAGGTCCATTCGCTAATGTAAATATGTGTATTTTAGGCAACAAATACAAACTGAAATAAGTTTCTGTGAGTGTATGTTGTCTTCGATATGCCGGTAAGTATTTAGATTCTCATTTTTCTCTTGTAATATCTACATAAACAAGGATATGAATACCAGAAGTGGCATTATGCCTGATATGTCTGTTAATCACTTTATGCCGATCGAATCGAAAGTCGGTATTCGATTATTTTTGATTCATTTCTAATATTTACTCGATCTGTTTAAATTAATTAACATCATTTTGTGCAATTCAATACACTTTACCAAATCGTCACTCATCACTTGATAATGATTTCTCTCATTACTATACAGGATATAGACTTTCCCACCAAAATCAGGATTATCCGTTGGATATACCAACTTTATTTTATTTCTCATTATGCCATCCTTTTCTTTTTTTTGCCGGAATTCTTTTAACCTTTTTCTTATTCACCACCGATCCCAACAATGTCCATTTATTTTATCGATTTAACTTTCTCGTCGATAATACAGATTACTTATCTTATCATTAACGCTTTCTATTTTGCAATCAGTCAATTGAACAGTATTATCGAATATTCAATTGAGGCGGATGCAGATGATGAGGGATTAACTCATCCCCTACTTACGGTTACCCGACAGGGTCTGCTTGAAGTTCGCTCTTCTCCAAGTGCAGGCGCCGCCGGGTCAGCCGGAGTCTTTTTGCATCGTCGTCGGCTTCGAATAACTTCTCATCCTGGCAAGCCAATTGCTCGACATGCTTCAGTTGAAATCCTTTCTGATAGCCCTTCTGAAAGCCCTTCGATTGTGACATCAGATGCTACTGCTTCCAATTCTGGATCCACCGGTATCGGTGTTTCTGTTCCCACTACTTCTTATTATGCCGCAATGGATAAGTTACCAACTGCACATGATTCTCCCATACTTCAGAGCTTAGTTGTCGAAGTGCTGATCAAACAGCCACGCTACCTTCTGGCCACTCCGACCGCGGGCGTTTCTAGCTCCCTTCTTCGTAATCTGCTATTTGGACTCGAAAATCATCGGGATATCACTCAAAACTTTCAGAGGCCCTCCAGAGACTCTCTTTTATCTGCTAGTAATCCAAGCTCAAGTACGCAAATCGAAACTGAGCCCACCGTGACTAGACTATCTGGCTTGCCTCCTGGGGGACCTTTTCTTCTTGGAATCAGCTATCATGACGAGATTGGTTTGCCATTTGACGCGGTTGCAGGTAAGATCTTGTTTTTATGTGTAAAATTTTTCAATTTATGAAGACAAGCTGGCCTCCTTTGAACTTTCAATCTAAATAATATTATAGCATGGCCTGTGGACTTTCCTTTTAGAACTTCGTTTGCCTAATGCCATTATCCTTACAAGAATTGAGCCGAGTCATTACAACTTGGCGAGGGAACACCAAATTTTTTTCTACATTTACACAATCTTTAAATGATATAATAGGTATATATGGGTCAAAATCCATGACCTTTGGACTCACTCAGCTAAATGATATGTTTAACTATCCTTTATTTTTATTATACCCTTAGTTTTCAGCCATCCTTCAGTATGAAGGGACTGTTTTACTCTATTCATATTCACCCTATTTACTATTTGCCTTCATTTTACCATCCAGATGACTTGCATATTCCTCTACTGCATGCCCATCGTGAAGACCTTGCAGAAATGACCTTGCGACCTGCACTTGCTACGGCTAGCTTTGGAACCCGCGGAT